TGGATCAGTTTGGGGCAAAATTGTGTAATATCCTGAGTGGGATCCAAGAGAATAAGTTATTCGCGTAAATATGAATCTGGAATAATCCTAGTTTGACAATTGCAGGTAAATTTAATGGGCAGGCAAGGTTATTTATCAGTTCTTTAAAGCAGTGTTTCTCAACCTCAGCAACCTTAAGATGTGTGGACTTCAACTCCCAGAATTCCCCAGCCAGCTGGTAATTGAAGTCCACACATCTTAAAGTTGCTGAGGTTGAGAAACACTAGTTTAAACTATTTGAGACATTGCAAGAGAAATTTGGATTGCCCAAAATTGCAGAATGGCAGTATATTCAGTTGTGATATCTTGTAAACTTCTTGTTCAGGCATTCTGTTGCTTCCATTGGAAAATATTTTACCAGGGTTGTCTCTTTGTGTTCTTGTAAACTTATGCTTGTATCATCAGCTTTTAGGCAGCTTGTCTTCTGTTAGCCATTTTTTTTAAATTGCCTTTGGTTTTTCCAACCATTTAGGTTTTTTCCAAGATTCCTGCCTTGCACCAGAAATATTTAAGCTTTGGCTTTATTATTACTGTTTCTAGTGAGCAGACTGGTTCTACTTTGTCTAGTATGGAATGATTCACTTTTGCAGTCCAAGGTACTTTCAGCAATTTTATCCAGCACCACAATTAAAGGGCCAACATTTTTTCTTCATTCAGACTTTCTGATGGTCCAGCTTTCGTTTACACCTAGAAAAACCATGGCTTTGACAATCTGTATCTTAGTTATCTAACATGAAATCTCTACATGTTAAAATCTTCCCTAGATATAGTAAGTGTGTGTATGTGTGTGTGTTGTCTAGTCTTCCAAGAATCAAAATTCCTTTATTTCATGGCTACAGTCACCATTTCTGTGAATTTTTGAGCCTATGACATAAACTTTTACTACTTAAAATTTTTCTCTGCTTACTTGCACTGGCTAGCTTCACCTGCTGACATTATTTTAGTTTTGTTTTAATACTGAGCAGCAAACTGGTTTTAGTACTCTCTTCTTGCAGCTTTAACAAGATTCCTTAAGTCTTTCTCATTTTCAGCCATCAAACTGATATAGCCTTTGAGGTTGTTGATATTTTTCCCAGCACTTCAAATTCCAATTTCCATTTTTTCTCATATCTTCTGCATGTAAGTTAAATAAGTAAAGTGACATCATGCAACCTTGCTGCACTTCTTTCCCAAGTTTGAATTACTGTATTTAGTTGCTCCATATTCTGTACTTTTGCTAGGGCCTTTTGTACAATCATCTGAACACAGCATTTGGGGTCCCATGAGACACAGTGCAGTGGTTTTTATTCAGTCTTGATTTTTCCCATAAACCAGAGTCTTCAATAAGCAACTTGTGTTCCAAGTTACAGCAGAAATGTGATCTCTCATTTGCAAGTTCTGTGATTGAATTGCTCCTGTTTGAGGCAGTTGAGTGATTAGTGATGAAGTGCCCCTTACTTTCACCTTTTAATTAAACAACTTCTGTTCCACACTTAGAAATGGTGGTTAATCCATAGTTCTTCTTTCTTATTACCTTTTTTTTTTTTTTTGCATTTTTATACAAAACTTTGGAAGTGGAGGATTATAAGAAAGGAAGAAAGAAAGATCACAATAATCCAATATAAGGCATAGAAGATTAATTAAAGGGGAACTAAAAGGTAACTTGTAATTAGTTTTATAGCTGTACTGATCAGGGAGGTATACCTCATAGAAAAGCTGCAAGATTAAACTGTTAATTAATGTCACAGTAGGATCTTCTCTTTCTCTCTCTTCCTCTCTTTTTGGCCCATGTGTATTAATAAAAAGATAAAAGACTCATTTGGAACCAGTTACCAGTGCAGCTGTTTATTCAGACTAAGGGTTAGAGCTAAGGATAGGGTTGTACAACTTGACTAAGCTATGGTTTAGCTAATTTGTGATTAATTATGGTTCAGCATGTCCTGTGAATCCAGAAAATCATGGTGTGTTGAACACATCTAGCCTAAATTTCTGATATCCACATCTCCTGTAGGAGCAGGGATGTGCAGGACATCAAAAGGAAAGAATCCCAAATCATGTTGTCTTGCCACTTCAGAATAGGCTCTCTGTGTGTCAGTTTGTGCACTGAACAACAAGAGTTGAGATTAACTTTGAAAAACCAATACTAGGAATAATCTGCTTGCCAAAATCCCTACAGTTTATCTGTAATACTATAACTTGCTGGAAATCGCTAAAAGCTTCCTCAGATACCACAATTTTGAATTATTACAGTGCCCATGTTAGATACTAGAACATGAACTTGTTTAACTATTATGACTACTTTGCTGTTTTTGCATTTCTTCTGAAAAATGGAAAGCACACTGCCTAGCTCTCTCAAGGGAGTGACAGTATCAAAGGAATTAGTATATAATTAAACCTTGTGTGAAAAGAGTATTCTGTTTGGTGGATTTATGTCCCTTTTTATGATGCTGGCAAAACACTAGTCATGAGGAGGTGAGCTTAAATATTCAGGAGGATTAGCAGTAGAGTTGCTTTCCGGGAAAGGGACTTTTGGAACAATGGTTGATTGAAGAATAATGCAAGTGTGCTTCTTCCTGGTTTTAATTAATTAGGTTTCATTGATCTAGTCAGCCCTTATCTAAACAAAAGAATGACCTTGCCTGCCTTATTAATCAGTGCAGTGAATTCAGAGATATCTGTCCAACTTGTATCCGCTTTGAGGTATGTTTTTGCTCCTTGCCCTCCAATGCTAATCTCACACAGCTCTGAACACCAAAGTAAAGATAGGCCTCTGGTGGAAGATAACAGGACCAATTCACCTCTCCCTTCTTTCTTCGGCACACTCAGCAGTCCATTAATAAAGGCTCCTGGGATGGCATAATTTGTGACTACTGGCATTAGTTAATGGAGGCTTGTAGACTGCCAAACCCTGCGCTAATTGGGTTATATATGATGCAGGCCTAGCTGATCTAAATCACAGCAGGTGCATTGTGAGACTCAGGGTAAATAGGAGGAACCCTTTCATATATTTCCACCAGCTATAAAATACCTGTGGCATCAGAAAGAAGGTGGATAGAAGGCACGGCGTGAGGCCAGTGCTCACTTCTACTCTGTGCTTCACAGAGGTTGATTTCCACACATTGGTTGTTGCAGGCACAGCACTTGGATTGTGACACGGTCCCCCCCCCCCCCCCCCCCC